CTGACATACTTTGGACATGTTGCCAGGAGGGACGGGTCCTTGGAGAGGGACATCATGCTTGGGAGGGTGGAGGGACAGCGCAGGAAGGGAAGACGCTCTATGAGATGGATTGATTCGGTGACTGGAGTAATCGGGATGGGTGTGTCAGAGGCAGTGCGGTTGGCACAGGATAGAGCAAGGTTTAGGGCTGTTGTGCATAGGGTCGCTATGAGTCGAAAATGACTCGACGGCACATAACAAAAACAACAACTAGTAGTGCTTAGAATCTCAAAACATACAATCAGCCATCTAACTGTTGGTCTCAATTTGTTCTGAGCAGAAGAGACTATTTGGAGAAGAATGTCTCATCAGATAACTCACTAAAAAAGCATTATACTTATATTCTAGCAAAAAGAACTGTACAAATCAGAACCAGAAAAAGGGAGAGACACATAAGGTAAAGTCTGAGAGAGCCCCATACATGAAACTTCCATGTTTCTGGGGTGACTATTTGGAGAAGAATGTGTCATCAGATAACTCACTAAAAAAGCATTATACTTATATTCTAGCAAAAAGAACTGTACAAATCAGAACCAGAAAAAGGGAGACACATAAGGTAAATTCTGAGAGAGCCCCATACATGAAACTTCCATGTTTCTGGGGTGTATTACCCTCCCAGAACATGGTAAATGCTACACATAATGTGGTCAATCAAGAAGGCCCATCTAAACCTGCTGCCAGGTTTTCATTGAGGCTTCATTATGACTGATTGAGCTCAATCATGTAGTTAACCTCTTATGCCCTGGGAGGCACTTCACAGGGCTCAAAAGCTCTAATCAAAAGTCTCTAATCACTTGATCCGTTTTTCTGGTTTGGTCCACCAACTTGTTAGCATAAAATATCAAGAGGCTCACCAGTGAGTCCTTTTGTTAGCATAAACTTTCAGGTGGAGTGTCTCAGAAGCACAGCATGAATAACAAAGACACTTGGCAAATTCCAAGAGTTTTGAAGTCTCTCAGTCTTTCAAGTGAGACTCCCTGGCTCTGGATAGTGGTTAAGCCATTTGCTGCAAGCCAGAGTTTGTGCTAGCGCACCAGCTGCTCCTTGAGACTGCGCCACAGCCGGCTCAGTGAAGATTCTATTTTGCAAATCCTGCAAGAGAGTTCAACTCTGCCCTATAGGATTACTGTGAGTCAGAACTGACCCGACAGCTATGAGTTTGATTTTAGTTTAAACTCTTCAGGATCTGGGACAAATACTAGCCAAATTCTTTTTTTAACCTTTTTTTATTTTCATTTTTTTTGTGGTGGTTCTTTTTATTAGAACTTATCTACTGAGAAACAGGGAGAAAGGCCAGCCATACTCTTTATGGCACACTTTTCTCTTCTGCTGCATTATGGCTTCTTGTTGGTGTTATGTGCCGTCGAGTCACTTGTGACTCCTAGCAACCCTGTGTATGACAGCTCTGAACCCTGCACTATCCTGAGTCAGTCTCACTGACTCCGACACACTTACCCATTACCCCAGTCATTGAGTCAATCCATCTCATTCAGGGTCTTTCTTTTTTGTGTTGTTCCTTGGTCCTCCCAAGTCTGATGTCCCTCTCCGAGGACTGGTCCCTCCTTGCAACATGTCCAAAGTATGTCAGACGAAGCTTCAGAATCCTTGTCTCCAAGGAGCAGCCTAGTTTCACCTTCTCCAAAATGAAACTGTTCTCTTAGCAGTCCATGGTATTGTCAATACTCTTCTCCAGCACCACAGCTCAAATGCATCCATTCTACTCCTATCATCCCTAGTCATTATCCAGCTTTCTGCTGCTAGCAAGTAATTGTGAAGACTATTCTGGCTTATATCCTTAAATGTATCTTCAAATGTACCAGTTCTTTCTTCAGGTAGGCTTTCTACTGTTCTCTTTTATTGACTAGATATTTTCATTTCTATTTCTATTTCAAATCTACCTATTCTTTGGCACATTCCATATACTCTTTGATGGTTTTTATTTCTTGTGAAAGGGAAATTCAATAAGGGATTTTAGCCCCAGGAAAGAGAAACCTGGTGTATTATCCCCACCCATGTACTTCCTCATTCCTGAGGTGTGCCCTTTCCCCAGTCCTCATTCTTTAAAGGATGTATGCCTACACTGGGAATCCACCCTTCTTCAGTAATGTCTGCACAAGGAATCCCTCCCCTCTTTGTGTCCTACTGCAGCTCCAGTAGAAAAGGTATGAGAGGAGGGTGAGTAAATGGGAAGGACATGGGTGAAAAGACAGGGTAATGATCATTAAGGTCCAATGGCAATTAATTTTTATGAAACAATGCATGAGAATGATTGTATGAAACACAATATGAATGAAGAATAATGACACACAAGGCATATGAATGTGTAAACAAACTTTTTGTATATTTATTATTAATTTTAATGAAAATTTACAGAGATTTCGGATTTCCATTCATTCATTGTCACACTCTTCTCCCTACCCACCCTCTGCTCCAGTTCGTTCTTCCCTTTGAAAAGTAAAAGAAAAACTCTTTCATTGTTATACAGTCCCTTCCCCCAGGTCCACTCCACTATGCAGCCTTCCTTCTGGACTCCTGTCACAATAATACCTAATCATATATCCCTTTTAAACAGTTTTCTCCTTCATCTGTTCCAATGCAGTATACATCATTTATCCCATCTTTCTCAATCTCCACTCAACTGCAGAGTGCCACTATTATAATTTTTTTCTTTAAAAAAAAATATATGCTCTATTTTACACCTAGATTTTTGCAACAAGATTTCTTCTGAAATGTCGGCTAATAAATTTTTCATCTTTCAAGTTCTCTGAGAGTGCTATCTGGCCATTCCCAGGCCACAGTTTTGCTCTAACACTCCTTTTATCTCTATGATGTCGTTTTCATAATTTCTCTCTTCTCATGAAGTATATTTTGTCATTTCTTCATTTATTGGTTTTCATGCTGCTGCTTTTTCCTTATGTGTGTTATAATTTTTACCTCTGAGCTCATCCTCAGTGACTCTACTTTTTGGGGAATTCATTGTGCCCTAGGTTGTGAGGTACACTGTCAAGCAGCTTGGCATATGCCAGTGTTAGTTCTGAATCATCCTCTATTCCGAGCCAACTTTGTTGTCTCTGACAAACCTAACCCCATTTACCCCTGTCATTGAGTCAATCCACCTCATCAAGAGTCTTCCTCCACCCTTCCAAGCATGATGTCCTTCTCCAAGGACTGGTCCCTCCTGGCAACATGCCCAACTTATGTCAGACATTAGGGCATTGCATTTCCACCAGTTGTAAACCAATTTTAAAAATCTGAGCCTTATACTAAATGTATAAATGTAAATTAAGAACAGCATTCACATGCAACATAGGCTTGGAATTGTTTTCCTGGGATCCTGTTAGACCCCCACAGCTCTGGCAGAAGCTAAGTTCCTTTACATTTCCATTCTTAGAACAGAGGGCTTGGATTTCTTTCTACTGTTTTTTATAGGAGACTGGCTCTTTTTCCCTGGAATGCGTAATTCCAGCTCCCACCATGCAGATCTAAGGCTTCATGTTGCAACTGTACATTAGCTGTGTAACACCAGCACTAAGCAACATTGAGTCACAAACCACCTTAAATAGTACATTTCTCAGGAACTTTATCCATGAGCTCATATGCAATTTCATCCTACACCCTTTCTTAAGCCCTTTGGAGGTTGCTGCAGTACTTTCAGAGCCTAGCACAGTAGGACTATTATTGTTGTTGTTATTGTTATATGCCATCTAGTCACTGTGACTCATAGCGACCCCACATACACAAGCCCTAACCCCAATTACTGAGTAAATCCATCTCATTGATGTTGAAGAGACTGAAGGATTCCTCTGTGGATCTTATCTAGAATCTCAGCTGGGGGGGGGGGGGAGATCTGCCCTAGAAAATGAAATCCTGTATGATTCAATTAGCAAAATTATATGCCTGATTTAAACCTGTCTTCATTTCTTTTTTCATGTCTAGGTTTTGGAGTGTCACAGACCAAAGCCATCATGACTCTCGTCTCTGGGATTCCAATGGGCCCACCCCGACTTCCTCTGCAGAAAGCCTCCAGAGAGTTTACTGATAAGGCTGAAGCTAAACTGAAGAGCCTGGATTTCCTTCCTTTCAATGATTTAAAGGATAGAAATTTGGAAGCTTGTAGCTAGTCCCTCTTGATCAAATGTACACATTGAAAATGCAATCACTCTTGTCCTTTTGGCTGGGATCATGTAAAGTATCTGCTCAGTTTAGCGCTTGATACATCCTCAATTAGAGGACAGTATTCAATGGATTTGGGGCATTAGGAGACGGAAGAGGAGCGTGCTCTGTCCACTCTACATATCACCTGCAGTACCTCCAGGAACGCTGTATGAACAACAACAAAAATATATTGTGTATCTAGTAATCCACATAATATATTCATTTCTCAGGGATTTTTTTAGATGAACTAAATTTTCTCTTACCAAATTAAATCACACATTCAGTAAATACCTATTAAGATAGGTAATAAGTTTGTGAATGGAGCAAAAATGCAAAAAGCACTTATGAGCCCTAAAGTTTTCTAATTTTAAAGCATTACAATGTATTCCCATTTTAATAAATATTAATTTAGAATCTTATAAAATTCTCATCTATTGCATTTAAGTAGATAACTTTGATGACAAATTTAGATGACTGAATTATACACAACTGCTTAATACATCAGTTGGCTCTGGTGGCTTAGGGGTTAGGAGCTGCTCTGTCAACCCAAAGACACATGGTTTGGATCCACAAGCTGCTTCGTGGGAGAAAGATGGACTCTCTCCTCCCATTTGATTTACTGCCTCTAAAAACCTGCTGGAGGGTCAGCTGTGGGTTGGTTTGGACTCGATGGTACTCAACAACAAAAATTTAACACATCAGGGAGCTTTGGTGACTTAGTGACAAGGTGTTGCACTGCCAACCCAAAGGCAAGGTGTTTGAATCCTCCAGTCAAGTGAGAAAAAGATACGCTATCTCCTCCTGTACGATTTACAAACTCTGTAAAACTTGCTGGAGGATCAGCTATGTGAGGCAGTTCCAATTGGATGGCACATAACAACAGCTTAACACCTCAGGACATTCAGCTGCTTAGTCTAAACTCTCAACTATTTCCTTCAGGTTCATTTTGATGCCACAATATTCCCCAAATACAATGAGTCTAGTAAGTACCTAACTTTAGTTCTATATAACTAAAGGTCTGCAGGAGTGGCATCCACTTCCTAAATAACATGCCTCGGAAACTCTACGAACGTTGATAAATGTCCATAGTTGTAGAGGGCCTTCAGGTCTTTTGTTCATAGGGTCTCTGAGTCGTGCTACTCAAAGGCAATGAACAACAAAGTTCCTGTTAGAGTAATATTCTCACAAGAAAAGAGAAGTCTTTCCCAAAGTGAAATCCAGCTTTTGTTATACAGAAAACATCACACAAGTTAGGGTTTCAAAGAACCAAAGTTTTTGTCTGAGCTTTTACTCTGGGCTCCACAGCCACCCTCCCACTGCCCCACATAGCTCAAAACTGGCACAGAAAATCCTCTTCATCCATGTGTCCAGGAGGAATGCTCTTACCCTGTAGTATCCTGAAGCAGTCCAGTACTGAAAGATTTGGGGTAAACACAAAGATCAAAGATCTCACTTTAACTTTTCTGTCAACAACTGTTAGGTGGGTCAGTGTCTTAGGATGAGAATTGTCAAGAGGCAAAGTTAAGGACTTATGCATTCTCTGAGGAGAGAGGGGCCACATATCAAGAGAGGATACTGACTCTGATAGGGTAGTTGAGGCTTTTGTTGTAAACATAAGGGTTGGAGAAACAAAGGAGGGTATGAATTGGAAATAGAATCTTCTGCCAAGTGTTCAGGCTAGTGTATCATTAGGCATCGAGGAAGTGGTGTCAGCAGATGCATGATGGGGTGGTGGATACTCAGAACCTTAGGTGAATTATCACTTCCTTTAGAGCAGGACATCTTGTGATATTCTGTTGGTTTTTGGTAGTTTTCCACCTGAAAACAAGACTTGGAAATAGTTTTTGTCTTTTTTTTTCTTTTTTTCTTTTTTTTTAGTTTCTCCTTTCTAAAAATCTCTGGTGTGTGCTTTCTAGTTACAAAGTATTTTATTACTCTAGTCTGGTGATTTTAGCCTAGTGTTGCAGGCTTTTAAATGCTGGCTGCTAAACTAAAGGTCAGCTTGGATTGGCTAAAGCCAGTAAAACATGGTTCAAAATCAGGAAAGGGGTATATCAGGGATGTATACTTTCTCCATACCTTTTCAATCTGTGAGGAACAGGTTATTCGAGAGGCAGGACTTTGTGAGGAGGAATGCAGCATCGAGACTGGAGGAAGATTCATCAACAACCTGCAATATGCAGATGGCACAACTTTGCTCCCCAAAATTGAGGAAGATTTAAGGTGTTTGATGCAAAAGGTAAAAAACAGCAGGCTTCAATATGAATTGAGTCTCAACATCAAGAAAACAAAGATTCTCATCACTAGGACAATAGAACTAAGGATTTCATCTTGCTAGATCCATAATCAACACTCTTGGCACTGTTGTTTTGTTATTGTTATGTGCCGTCGAGTCGCCTGCGACTCATAACGACCCTATGTACAACAGCCCTAAACTCTGCTCTGTCCTGTGCCAATCGCACTGTCTCTGACACTCCCATCCCAATTATCCCAGTCACTGAATCAATCCACCTCATAGAGGGCCTTCCTCTCCTACGCTGTCCCTCCACCCTCCCAAGCATGATGTCCCTCTCTAAGGACCGGTCTCTCCTCACAACATGTCCAAAGTATGTTAGATGGAGCCTCAGAATCCTTGCCTCCGAGGAGCCACCTGGTTTAACCTTTTCCAGGACAAATCTGTTTGTTTTCCTAGCAGTCCATGGTATTCTCAATACTCTTCTCCAGCACCACAGCTCAAACACATCAATTATCCTTCTATCCTCCTTGGTCATTGTCCAACTCTCTGATGCATAACAGGTGATTGCGAAGACCATGGCCTGTATCAGACACACCTTAGTCTCCAAAGAGATACCATTGCTCTTCAGCACTTTGGAGAGGTCCCTAACAGCAGACTTTCCCATTGCAATGCACCTTTTAATTTCCTGGCTGCTGGTACCAAGACTGTTGACTATGGAGCCAAGCAAACTAAAGCTGTGTACAATCTCAAACTCTTCACCAGCCATCCTGATGCTGCCAATTGGTCCAGTGGTGAGAATCTTTGTCTTCTTGACATTGAGCCTCAATCCATACTGTAGGTTGCCATCCTTGACACTGCAGCAGGCGCTTCAGGTCCTCCTCAGTTTCAGCAAGCAGGGTTGTGTCATCCGCATAACGCAAATGGTTGATAAATCGTCCGCCAATCTTGACCCCACATTTCTCCTAGCACTAGCAGGGAGGAAATCAAGAGGCCAGTTGATATTATTGTTATGTGCCATCAAGTCACCCGTGGACCATAGCAACCCTATGTACAGCAGCTCTAAACCCTGCCTGTCCTGAGCCAGTCTCACTAATTGCAAGCTACCCACATTTGCCCCAGTTATTTTATTAATCCATCTCATGTGGGGCCTCCCACTCCTGTGCTATCCCTCCACCCTTGCGAGCATGATGTCCTTCTCCAAGGACCAGTCTCTCCTGGCCACATGCCCTATGTACTGGAGGTAGAGCATCAAAATCCTAACCTCCAAGGATAAACTTGGTTTCACCCTCTCCAAGGAAGACCCATCTGTTTTCTTGAAAGTCCATGGTATGTTCAAATCTCTTCTCCAGCACCACAATTAGAAAGCATTGATTCTTCTGTCATACTTAGTCATTGTCCATTGGGAAAATTTGCTATCAAGTATCTTTCCAGAGTGCTAAATAGCAATGATATCTACAGACTAAGGTACTCCTGATACAGGCAATGATTTTTTCAGTTGCTCGCTATGCTTACAAGCTGGACAATGACTGAGAATGACAGAAGAAGAATCGATGTCTTTGAGTTATGGGGCTGGAGAAGAGTATTGAACATATTGTGGTTTGGCAAGAGAACAAACAAGGGATTCTGTCCAGAGAGGATGAAACCAGGTTGCTCCTTAGAGGAAAGGATTTTCAAGCTCTGTCTCACACACTTTGGTCATGTTACCAGGAGAGATTAGTCCTTGGAGAAGGACATCATGCATGGAAGGGTAGAGGATCAGTGCAGTAGAGAAAGACCATGGATGGGATGGATTGACCCGTGACTATGGCAATGGGGTCAGGTGTTTCTGAGATAGTGAGGTTGGCTCAGGGTAGGGCATGGTTCAGAGCCATTGTTCTTAATGTTGCTATGAGTTGTAGTTCACTGGATGGCACACAACAAATCCAATGAATGGATCATAATGAATCAATCTACTCATTGGTAGTGGATTGGATTTTGGTTTGTATTTAGCCCTAGTGGCATATTAGATTGGTTACCTGGTGGACTATCTGGAAGGGTGATGATTGGAATCTTAAAGGAGAAAGATGAGGCAGGTCCCTCCAATAAGATATATTGCCTCAGAAACTCAATGGAGGGTTGTTGTAAGTCAAAATTGATTTGATAGCAGTGGTTTTGTTTTTTTGAATCCAGTTTATAAGGAGCCCTAGTGGTGCAGTGGTTAAACCCTCAGCCACTCCATGGGAAAGAAAATGAGGGAATCCACTTCTGTAAAGATTACTGTTAGATGCCATCGAGTTGACCATAACTCACAGTGACCCTCCATCTTCTTTCTATGCTTTCTGGATCATTCAACATCTTGCCCATAGAATCATTCAATATTGCAATTCAAGACTGAAATGTATTTTTCCGTTCTCTCAGCTTGAGCAATCCACAGCAGGTTTTCCCCTTTTTATTCTCCTATTCAAGCTGTCTGCATATTCCATTATAATACATTTCTGTGTCTTCTCGAGCTGCCTTTCAAAATCTTCTGTTCAGCTCTTTTAATTTGACATGTTTTCCCTTTGTTTTGTCTTCTTGATCCCCTAGCGCAATTTTCAGTCTCTTCTGACATCCATGTTGGTCTCTTTTTCTTTCTTCTCCTCTTTTTGCTCTCTTCACAGATGATTTTTTCTTTTTTCTTTCTTTTTTTTTTTTTTTGCCACCGAGTCCACAGAACAGGAAATCCAGGACACCTCCTCTGAACCGCTCATC